ATACGGAGGTCAGCTGCAGGACCGGGCCATCATCGGCGTTCCTGCCGAAGGCCAGTTCGTCATCGTTTACCGGGAAACCCCCGGAACATTTGATGATGGAGAGACGTACAGTCTCCGGAGCCCGACATATGAGTTCCGAGACCTGGCATTCGGGCCGTTGCATTCCGAAGCCATGACTTCCCCGAGGGTGGCCCCAGCCATCGTGGGGATGGGCTTGCTGGAGGCCATTCCTGAGGCCGATATTCTGGGAAGGGCCGATCCCGACGACGCAGACGGCGACGGCATATCCGGGCGGGTTAACATGGTCTGGGAGGAGCGCAAGGGCGATCTGTCCCTGGGCCGCTTCGGCTGGAAAGCCAACCAGCCCTCTGTGGAACAGCAGACTGCGGGCGCCTTTATGGGAGACCTCGGCATTACTTCTCCGCTTTTCCCCGAAGGAAACTGCACCAGCTTTCAGACCGACTGTCTGACCGCCCCCAATGGCGGCGTCCCGGAGATCGACGCAGAACGCCTGGCCAAGGTCGTGCTGTACACTCAGGCCCTGGCGGTGCCTGCGATGCGCGACTTCCACGACCCGGAGGTTCTGCAGGGCGCGGACCTGTTCGTTCAGGCCGGTTGCGCCGTCTGCCACACGCCCCAGTACACGACTGGCACCCACGGACTGGAAGCGCTGAGCGATCAGACCATCTTTCCCTACACGGACCTCCTGCTGCACGACATGGGTCAGGAACTGGCCGACGGACGGCCCGAATTCGATGCCGGCGGGCAGGAGTGGCGCACGCCGCCCCTGTGGGGCATCGGTCTCGTGGAAACCGTCAGCGGCCATACCATGTTTCTCCACGACGGCAGGGCCAGGAACCTCGTCGAGGCCATCCTCTGGCACGGAGGCGAGGGATCCAAGGCCCGAGACGCTTTCAAGTCCTTTACCAAGGAAGAAAGGGACGCCCTCATTCGATTCCTGAATTCGCTGTAGGCTGACAAGTGACAAAATAGGGAAATTCGCAGCATCCATATTGAGACGGAAATGAACCCCACCTGTTGTGCGATAGTTTCAATCCTTGCTGCCATTCTGCTTCTGTCAGCTATGGCATGCGGCGCTTCGGACTTCACGGAGAGCGACGCAACTGAAATGGATGGGACACCAAGAGGAGAGGTTGCTCCGGCGAAGGCCACCCGTGGAGAGGTTCTGCAAAGTCTCACGGCCCGGGGGATTCTTCCTGGATACTCTGCCGCAGCCGCTAGGCTGACTCAACTGGAACTCTCGGTGGGTTCGCTGTGCTCAAATCCTGGAGAGGACGCGCTTACATCCGCACGCGAGGGGTGGCGGGATGCGCATAAGGCTTGGTTGCGTACAGAGTCCTTCCGTTTCGGGCCCGCGATGGAGCGCCGTTCCCTGTCACTGTTGGATTGGTGGCCCATAGATACCGTAAAAATTGATCGAAACCTCGCATCCCAAGAGGCAATCACCGAGGAGCGCGTGAGTGAGTTCCTGTCTGCAACCCAGCGAGGCTTGGCTACCGCAGAGTACCTCCTCTTCGGCCAGGGTAGTGATTCGCTTACTGGAGGGCCAGGTGGTTGGGAGCGATGCCTTACCTCCAATCAGTGGTTGGTGTTGCCAGCCGAGAGGTTGGCGGAATCCTGGCCGATTGGCGGGGCGCGGATGGCAAGTGCGGATACGCCGGCTACTTCGACGGGACCGGACCCCTTGCCCTGCTTGACAGCGAGCCGAGGCTGAGGCAGTGCGTTCCCTGGTGTTTCAAGTCAGGGCCATCGCAAACATGCGGTTGGGAGTCGCTCTTGGCATTGATGTCGACGCCGACGCCAGCGAGATTCCATCCTGCAATGCCGACAGCTCCGGAGACGACCTGCTTGCCCAACTGGAGGGCATCGCCGCCATTTACCGCGGAGTGGACGGCGGGCTGGGGCTGTCGGCCCGGGTAGCCTCCGTTTCCGAAGAGGCAGATGCCCGAATGCTGTCCGCGATTGAGTCCACCATTGACGCAGCCAGCAATATGGAAGGCAGTGTCTTTTACATGCTTGAGACCGGCCCTGCCCAGGTCCGGTTGGTCTACGACAACCTCAAGGAATTGCAGCGGGTCCTGAACACCGAGATAGTCAGCCTGCTTGGCGTGTCAGTGGGCTTCTCCGACACCGACGGCGACAGCTAGGCAAGGCGCCGGTGATCTTCGCCAGCCTTTCCTCTTTGCCACCCCCAGGCTGAAGTAAAGAGTGGCTAAGGCTCTGGCAGGAGCCAGGGTTTTGGCCCAACTCCATGGCTGACCGCTGCAAGGTCGGCCTCGGGGTCGACCAGGCGGGCGTTCTCCCTCCCATTGATTGAGACAAATACGTCAGCTCGAACCTCAACATTGGGACGCCCGCGAGCGGCGAAGTCCCGGGCGATGATGTGGGCCGTCGCCAGTATCATGTCCGGCTGCGTTGTCATGCGTTCTGCCTGCAGTGGCGTCAAGTAATCCTCCGGGCCGACTCGCCAGCGTTGTCCTGACTCAGGTTCGTACACCCTGTATTCCACCAGTCCCACCTTCTCGGTCAGCAACACCCTCCAGGCGAAACGGTACCCTTCCTCGTTCCACCGCACGTTCCCAGGATAAGCGTAGTGGCGCAGTGGCATAGCGACCTGCACCGCAACGAAAAGGATCACGCCCGCAACCGCTGCCACCTCAATGAGTATTTTTGGTCGCAGGGATTCGCTTGATTTCTGGACACCGCTCCTGCCGGTGGGACATGTTTCCATCCAGGCGCCTTCGGGCTCCCGGCGAGAGAACGTAGCCTCTCCACGCGAACCCCGGACACCAGCCGTTTAGGCCAGTCTGACGGGAAGAAGATCAATGCCGCTCCGGCCATAAGCCAGGGAAAGACTCCTATCTGCGGAAATAGCAGGTAGGTCATCAGATGGAAGACCACCAGTACCACGTAGGCGGCTGGACGCGTGCGTCGCCACATCAGCCACCCCACGATCGCGAGGTCGAACAGGGCCCCGCTCCAACTGAATGCGTAGGCAGTCCAGGCCTCCCCCAGCAGTGGACCCACTGTCGGAAGGGCAATGTGATCCTTCAGCCAGATTCGCAGGGGTTGCGCCTCCAGCAGCCAGTCATTGTTGAGCTTTGCGATGCCCGCGAAGACGTAGACCGCGGCCAATTGCGCCCGTAGCAACCATATGGCCCCTGCGGGAACGGCGCCCCACAGAATCCCGTTTCTCCTCCAACTGTCTATCGACAGCGAGTGGTGCATGGGGATGAAGACCATCAACAGGCTTACCAGTGCGGCCCAGTAGTAGTGGTTCAGGTAAGCCGTCTTGTCCAGAAGTTCGACGTACGTAAAATCCAGGAAAAACAACAGGGCGCACAGCCGGTAGCGGTACCCGACAGTGATTCCGAGGGCGACAAATCCCAAGGCGGCAAAGTGGGCATACATCCCCCAACCAGGCCACGGTCTGACCCAGCCAAACCACATGTAAGTGAAGTGGTACTCGGGAACGATATATAGCTCGTCAATCCAGCCGTGGGCGAAGAACCTCGCAACTATGAACAGGCCGATGAGGCCGAACAGGATTCGGAATACGGCCAGTGATCCGGCATCGACCTGTTCCCGCGCGGCGAGGACGAACGCGCCACAGGAGGAGCGGGCGTTTCCCACGATGGAGGGAAACGGACGACTCAAGCTGGCAATTTCTTGTGAACTGTTCCGCAGCATTCAGTAAAAGACCACCGATGAAGGTGGTCTGATCAGATCCCCTGGGTGCGAATTTTACTACCGTTGAGTTCCTTCCAATTTAACCGCTTGCCTCCCTCCGCCGACATTCCTCCTCTCTCGATGTCTACGGGGACGCATCAGCGAATTCAGGCGGGGCTATCGCATTTAGCTGGAGAGATTCTGTGGCTGCACAGGGAACTGAGTACAGCAATCAGGGAGAAGAACTGACCTGAGGGGAATGAATAGTCTCCGTGGGAGAATTGGGACGGAATACTTCCCACGGTGTCCAAATTGTCCCAAATTGTCCCATTGTGCCCCTTAATTTGCGCTATTTTGTATCTGAAGGGGACCCTGCGGGAGAGAAATTTTTAATTTCGGTTCCATTTTGTCCCATTCCGTCCCATTTCTGCTTTTTCTGCGGTTTGGGCAGGCCATGCCTCTGCAGCTGTCGGCCGGAACCAGACTGGAACCAGGCCGGATGCAGCGCGGCCTGCGCAGGCATAAAGGCCGATTTATGGAACACATGATCATATATTATCGAGAGACCAAGAGGCTTTGCAAGCGGCATTTGTCACCAGACAGTTCTGCGGTTCCGGTGGTCGGACGATCGATTTGCCTGAGGATGGCACCAATGGGCAACGTTGCTACGGGGTGCCGGATTCACGAATCGCATCACAGACTTCGGGTAAAGTCAAGGGCAGGACCTGCGACGTGGAAAAGTATGGGTGAGACTCAACTGGAGTTCGCCTCGCAGCTGATAACCCCCAGAAGATGTGTATTTATGTACAATAGTGTGCAAATTTCGAGAATCTGAGTCTCAGTAAAGGATCTTGCGAGTGGCACAACATGGCCCGCAGGAGATGCTTAGACAGCGTTTGCCACTATGAAAATCCAGGGTTTCTTACGGTATTTGCAGGACGCGTTCCAGGTAGGTGCGGCGGGGCGAGGCCAGTAGTGTTTGAGAACATGTGTTTGATTATAATCGAGCACAGCCCGGTTTTGAAAGAGTGGGTCGGAGAGGACAGGCCTGTGCCCCGAGCACCCAGGTACAAGGCTGTAATTAACACCCATTACCCTGGATTACCACTTCCCCGGTAATGACGAATCGCAAGATTGCAAACAACCTGAATTGGAACGCTGTCTTAGCTTCAAGATTTCCGAATGCGATTGCCAATCGAATTCAGACCCTCCAGGCCCTTCCACACTAATACCGCCGGCGCCAATATCGGCGGCGCGGGTTTTCGTCCACTCCAAGTCTGTTCCGCATTTTGTGCTTTGGCGCTATCTGGCTATGAGGACTGTGTTGGGACCGGTAATCCTGATACCTTCAGCTGGATGCGGGCTAACCTATCCGCCGTGGTAATGAACAGGGTCTTCCAGTCCTCTCCGCCCCATGCCATGTTGGTGGTGTGCTCCACCTCGGTCAGGATTGTGCCCAGATGCATGCCAGCGGAGTCCACTATCCAGACGCCCCCCGGCCCGGTGCAATAAACATTTCCTTCGACATCGACTTTCATCCCGTCCGGAATCCCGGACATCTCCCCTCTCAGTTCACAGAAGACCCGCCGGTTGGCCAGCATCCCGGTAGGCCGTACGTCGAAGGCGTCAATGCGCCCAGTGCTGCGGAACATGTTGCCGATGTCTACCGACACGCCCTGAGAATCGTTTATGTAAAGGACGCTCTCATCGGGGGAAAACGCCAGCCCGTTCGGCAGAACGTAGTCCCGGACCAGCAGGTTGATCGTGCTGAGATCGGCCGATACCCGGTAGACCCCGGAAAAATCGAGGCCAGTGTCGGGGGAGGGGCCACCCGGATCGGTGAAATAAATGCTGCCGTCGGATTTCACCACCACGTCGTTGGGCCGGTTCAGTGGCCTTCCGTGATAGCTGTTTGCAATTACGGTGACGCTTCCATCGTGTTCAACCCGGGTTACGCGCCTTGCCCCGCCCTCGCACATCACCAGCCTTCCCTGCGGGTCCCGGGTCAGGCCGTTCGCATTATTGGTAGGCTCCTGCACCAGGGTCAGGCCCTCGCTCGCAGTCCATTTCCACCTGCGGTTTCCCCGAACCTCGCTGAACAGCAGATATTGCTCCTCGCTCCACCACAGCGGCCCCTCAGCAATGACATAGCCGGTGCCCAGCACCTCTACCGCCTGGTCCTGGGAGACTATGCGTTCCAGTTCCGGTGACAATTGTTGGACAGGCATGGCGTCCTCCTGGCGTCTTGGATTCTGTTACCGGGTAGCACAAAGCCGAATGTAAGGGTTGCCCTCGCGGTTTTCGTGGACGAAAGTGAGGCTCGGTAATTCCCGCGATTGTCCACATTCAAGGGGTGTAAGTGCGGTAATAGGGGCAGCCGGAAAAGATCGCTCGCAGGCACTTGCCCGAGGCGACCGAATCGAAGCGCATGGTTTCCGGTGAGCGCGAGTCATCTCCAACGCGAAACAGCCCGTCCCCGAGAGTTACCAGGGGCTCGTGTCCTCCCGACGGGTAGGCCAGGAGCAGGGAACCCTTGCGGATGACGATGCGGAAGTTCGTCAGACCGAAATTGTAGGTCCGGTAGTGCCCGGTGAAGCTATCCCACTCTGAGGGATATTCAAATATCTCGGGCCCGGAATAGCCTTCCCCAACGAACCAGTCGGGGCCGTGGAACGCCTCAACTACCTGGCCCTCGCGGCGTCCAAACTCCAGCAGATGGTGCTCCAGGCCCGGATCCGGCACGTAAAAGCGGTCCTCTCCGCGAGGCTGGAGGACCACATCCCGCCCTTCCCATTTAAGGGACAGCCGGTTGCCCTGCGCTGAAACAATCAGGCGGTGTTCCCCGGTACGGAATGAGCCCACGAAGTCGGTGGCGTTGGTCGTCAGTTCGGCGTCGGGTTCAGATGGGAGTGAGGGAATTTGCTGCTGGTGCAGACCAGCCCGCAGTAGACTGAGAATATGCAGTGCCATGCCAGCGGCCCCGTATGACTGAACTAGACCGTTGATCAAGACCACCACCCGATGCCGTCGTCAAGATCGGCGATCACGGCCGCGACAAATCCAGTGGTGCTGCCTCCATGCCCCAGGTATGAGTGGCCATCAATGTCGGCCATCGTCAAGCCGTACCCGTAGTGGGCTCCGCCCCACAGGTGCGTGGCCGCGGCGCGCTGGGTCATCAGTACGTAACTATCCGCTGACATGAGGCGCTGAGTTGGTCCCGACCCTCCATTCATGAACATCCTCAGATAGGTAGCCATGTCCTCGGCGGTGGATGCCTGGCAGCCATCGCCCACTCCGTACTCCGTCCACATTGCGGGCACCAGGCCGTGGTTCACATGTTCTGGCCGGTCGTCGTAGAAGCTGCGATAGCCCACCGCCGCCCGCTTCCGTGTCTCGTGGCCAATGACCGCGTGGGAGTTGTCCATGCCCAGTGGGTCAAGCACTCGTGCCCGGATGGAGTCCTGGTAAGAGCGACCGTCCAGCTCCTCAAGCAGGAAACCCAGGGTCTTGTAACCCACATTTGAGTATCGGAAGTATTCTCCCGGTGGAGATCCGGTCCGGCTGTCTCGCAGAGCCCACGCCTCGTACAAACCGTGAGTCCCTATGTCGGTGCCGGATGGCAGGCCCGAGGTATGGGTCATCAGGTGATGGGTTGTGATCGGCCCATAATCCGACTTCACTTCGAACCATGGCAGGTAGCTGGAGACGGGCTCGTGCAGGTCAAGGCGGCCTTCCTCGCGAAGCTGCATCAAGGCAACGGTGGTGAACGATTTGCCGATGGAGCCGACCTCGAACATCGTGTTCGGCTGAACTGGACTTCCTGCGGCCAGGTCTGCAAAACCGAAGGTGGACAGCGTCAACGTCCTCTCAAGGTCGGTGATGGCAAGGGCCACGCCCGGCATTTTAAGATTGCGCATCCGCTGCTGAACATAGAGATCAACCGCCTCAACGGCTTTATCAAAGCTCGCCATAGTCCAATCCATTCACGTATTTTTGGCAAGGTTACCACGGATGTAATGCGGGAGTTATGAAAGCAAGTCTTTGGAGACACAGGGAGTATTGCAAGCTGGATCGCCCCATAGTTTCACCCGTTGCTCTTTCGAGTAAACTTTCACTTCGTTTGCGCAGATGTCGGGTGTCAGGGCAGGGGAATATAATGGAGCCTGATCGGGCGAACCAGCCCGAAAATACAGGAAAACGCCTTGGGGATTGAATGGAATTAATCGGCTCCAACCTGCGTACCGGCGACCGGGATTTCCTCGACAACCAGGTCCGGATGCAGGCCCTGGTCCAGGAACTCAAGGATCGACTGGGTCGGGCGCGGTCCGGTGGCGGGGAGCGCGCCGTGGAGTTGCACCGCAGCCGCGGCAAGCTGCTGCCCCGCGAGCGGATTGACCGTCTGGTGGACGCCAGCACCCCATTCCTCGAGCTGAGCCCCCTGGCGGCGTGGGACATGTACGACGGAGATGAGGCGTCCGCAGGGATCGTTACCGGCATTGGCGTGGTGCACGGCAAAGAGGTTATGGTTCTTGCCAACGACGCCACGGTTAAGGGCGGCACTTACTACCCCATCACCGTCAAGAAGCACCTTCGCGCCCAGGAAATCGCCCTCGAGAACCACCTGCCCTGCATCTACCTAGTGGATTCCGGCGGGGCCTTCCTGCCCTTGCAGGCTGAGGTATTCCCTGACAGGGACCACTTCGGGCGGATCTTCTACAACCAGGCACAGATGTCGGCACTGGGTATTCCCCAGGTCGCGGTGGTCATGGGGTACGTGACACCGCCGGGGTGCGTACATACGGCCG